AAATCTTGTGCCTTTATCTGATTTAATGCATGATGTGTCATCTCCCTTCACCATTCGAAATATTAACCAATATGTGTCTCCCATGGCTTGTGCTGCATTCTCTATTCCCATAACCATTCTAGTCTCGAAATCTACAGAGGTTCCCATCCATGTGCCCACCTCACATGATTCTATTCCCATTATCTCTATGCCCGTGGGCAAATCTTCCCGAAAAGGGAAAGAAAAAATTACTGTTTCAGGTACAGCCGAGAAAAGAAAAATCAGAGCATTGGAGGATGTTGTCTACTTATCTGATTCCAAGCAATCAAAAAGAGGGTCCACATTGCCACCCAGAATGACAAGGTCTAGATCAGTTTCAGGCCCAGTACCAAGTCCGGCCCCTGCACCAGCAGCTGCTACTGTCCCCTCTGGCTCAAAGATGAAACAACCCATGAAGAAATATCATCCTATTTTACTGTCTCCAGATTTGATGTCTGACTGGAATGTTCATGCTAATAGGGATTTTATTCTGGAGAAATCCATCAATGTGGAGGAGTTGACAGAAAAATGCAACATTGTGCCTATTTTGCGAGATCAATACCTGCTTGCCTCACTTGTTCATGTTGGCCCGTATTCCAGATGGCTCACTGCCGAGTTCTACATGAATTTAACATTGGATACGTTTTCGGAGGGGTCACCGCGATTTCAACAAGTTTTTATTCGGGATAAATGGTATCCCTTAAGTCCGGCAGTGATTAATTCCTATTTGGGTACTCCAAATCATCAAGCTGCTCCTGACCCAAGTCCTAATCTCCTAGCCGCTACTTTAACTCACAACAAGATCGTCACTTGGCCAAACACCGGACTTGAAAGCCTAAAGCTCACCACGGTCTACTCTGTTCTGTTACGGCTAGCCTCAACAAATTGGATGCCGGCTGTTCGTCATCATTTTGTGTCTGACTAGCTTGCTGCCCTTCTCTACAAGATCAGGAACCGGCTCCCTCTCAATCTTGGAGAAATCATCTTTGGCCATCTTGCTCAATTTGTGCGACATAGGGAACCTAAGGTACATCTACCGTTTCCTAGTCTCATTTTTGGACTTCTATAGGAACATGGGTTCAAGCCCTACACAGATGAGGTGGTGATTGCTAATGCCTCAGTCTATAAATATGATGATCGTTTGACAAATAAGGATCACTATGATGATAGAGCTACGCTTTTGATCACTCCCGGCGCACCAACTGCCACGCCCTCTGTGTCTGCCCCTGCATCATCCGCTGACACTGCCTCTGCACCAAATCCCCGTCTTACGACTGCAATCAAGGAACCTCCGACGCTCATGGATCGCCGTCAAATTGTTCCCACTCTTCAAGCGTCAATTGCTCAAGTCCGCACATCGGTTGCTTCTCAACAAATAACCATTGATGGCTTAGAAAAGTTGTTGAGTGCTCAGTTGGGAGAAATAGCCCGAATGGAGGCTATCTATGCTCGGATTCGATCTAACACTGCGCTGGCACTAGTTCTATTTCTGAGAGTGATGACTCTGAGTCGGGCACCCCGTCTGCAAGTTAATCCAATCCACTAGAATGATGTTCACCGGTTTTGTTTGTCATTTATTTGGCATAAACAAAGGGGGAGTATTGGAGAAAGGGGGAGTATTTTGGAATGTTTGGATGTTTGGTAAGTTTTTTGTTTTTGGTATACTTTGGTATGGATGTTAATCCTTGGTTCGGATGCTATATTAATAATTTGGTACTATATAAATATTTTTGGTATGACTATGAATGAATGTATGAATGTCTTGGTATATTTGGTATGTTGACTGCATGGTATGAATTGGTTTTATTTGGAATGCATATGAAGAAAGGAAAGCTCCAAGTTAGGGGGAGTAATTCAAATTTCAGTACGGAAAGCGTGACATATATGGTATGTTTGATACAACACTATTTCGTGCATGATTCACTATTTATTAATTGGATGAAGTTTGTGAGTCAACATCAACCAAGGTTCAAAGTAAAATCTCACACACACAAATAATCTTTGGTCTGGTCTTAAGAGAATTTAATTTCACATTTGTTTTCTTTATATGTTCAGTACGTATACTATGGGATGTTAATAAAATATTCATTCCTTTTTCCCAAAGTATAATGATACTATTGTTTTACCAAATAAATTGCCAAAGGGGGAGATTGTAAGTGTACAAATGAGTACACATTAGATTGGCTAATTTATTAGTTTATTTTACTAATACGTAATGTTAATGTAATGTTAATTAGTATGAGTTGTAATGTAATTATTGGACCAAGCTAAAATGTGTGGTGGAGTTTTATTTCTAAATGAGTTGGACAAAGAAGCAAGTCTGAAGATCTCAAATTAAAGAATGAGTGGTTGAGAAGAATTCAAGCCACATATGAAGCTACAATCAAGGCTTGGTGGAATGGAGAGTGCGTACAGTATATAAGGAAGGGAAAATGAAAGAGGAAGTTGCCAATTCTAAAATTCTGATCTCATATGCAAGCTTCCTACATTACTGCTTTAATATTGATTATATTATTTGTGATTTAAATCTGTACAACAAATCAGTACCTGTGACAGCTGTAGTGCTACACCAAAGATGGTTATGACATGCACGGTTCTGTCCTGAGTAGGTGTTTTAGAAGAGTTGTAGTGGTAAAGGCTGTGAGCCGTTTGTAGTTACCTCTTGTAATACTCTGTGGTGAACATCTAGTGGATGGGCAGACGTGGGTTGCCCCGCAGACGTAGGAGAAGGAGCTCCGAACTGCGTAACAATTCTACTGTGTCTTTACTTTATTTACGCTTTCAATTTCGTTATTTATACGTTGATTAAATTGGTTTAATTAAACAGCGAAATTGTCTCGTAACATAAGATCAAATAGAATCCTTAGTGTTAAATTAATTTCAAGATACACGGACTTTTTCAGTGGTGAACGTAGTCATCCCAGACTCACCCCGAATACTTTATCATCTTATATATAGATGCGCGTAATTATACATATCATTTCTAGAAATTAAAATGTACCTAACTTGCCCAAATGATCCAATACTTTGATTATTAAGTTTCTTAATTAAAAATGAACTTATAATAAATTAAAAATAAACATATAGTATACAAAAAAAAAATTGAAACCTATTTAGGTTCATCTTACAATGATTGCATAATTATACCTACCCCTTGCGATAAAAGAGGTGTAATAATAAATGATATTAAATAGTTTTCTTTATAGGATGATTACATTTTTAGTCGTTAAATTGGTTATTATCTTGAATTGTAGCTCCTTATTTTTTTTTAAATGGCGTCCTTCTAACTTTCAATTGGCCCATCTGGCCTCACAATCTAAGGCCAATTATATTGTGGACTATGGTTCACATTTGGGTAAATTATATCATTCATCAGGGCGCACAATTCATTGTACGCCCTGGTCAAAACGATGTCGTTTCTCGTTTCTGCCGTTAACTTCTAAAAATAAAAAAATAAAAATAATTCTCTGTTTAGGATGTACAGAATTGTCTATTATAATACACATAAACTCCTAACATAATACACATAATCTAACATAATACGTAATACACATAAACTCTTAACATTATACACATAAACACAATTGTTAAAAAAAAACTGTAATGGGATTGGACGGATAGAACACTATCCATCGCGTCAACTCCCCACGCAACTTATAAAAACGACGTCGTTTTTGGCCAAGGCGCACAATGCATTATGCACCCTAGTGCACGATATAACGATTATCACATTTGTGGATCATAAATAAATGTACATTTTTAATATATTAAATATAAATTATTTGTATACTTAAGGTTCATTATTTTGTAGTATAACAAATAATGTACATTTAAAAGAATAAACTTTTAGTGTATTAAAAATATATTTTCAGTATAATAAAAATGTTCCTTATATTAGTGATTCATCTTACAAGATCAACCATAACCCATTCTATAATAATTGACAATGTAATCAAATTGACAATTTGAGCAAAAATTTAACAAATCATATTTGTTTCCATAAGAATCGAAGGACTAGCAGATTTTAAAATTGAAAGTAATTTAAAATAACTAAATAAGTGTGATTTTTCCTTCTTTAATTAAAGAAGATTACAAATTTTGATATAAATTTTGTTAATCTTTGACCCAAAATATTGGATATTGTTTATTGTTTTTCATCAGTACACCTAATTAAGGACATGGTGATCAAACAATCCTTGAACTTCAATATAAGTATAATAAAAATAAAATCGAATTGGATATCAAAAATAATATAAAAATAAAATCTTGTGACATTTACTAGAACTCAAAATTAAAAAACATGTATATTAGCTTTTGAATTGCGAGTCTTGATTAAACACGTAATATTTTTTAGTGATAATATCATATTTTATGAAATTTTTTTAAAAAAGCATTACATTTTTACTAAGAAATATATTACGTCTCTCACATAACACAATTTCATAAGAATTTTATGATTTTAAAAACTTTTTATGGTATTATTTAACATTATAATATAATTTCCGTTTGAGAAAATTGAAACTATATATATAAATACACATAGTTATAGCTACCACTTCATTCACTTGTGAGAAATTAAAAGAGGTATAATAATACATGTAATCAAAGAATTTCCTTTATGGGATAGTCTCATTTTTAATTTTCAAATCTTTTATTTTTTATCTTTAAATGTAATTTCTTAAGTTTTAAGTAAATAATGTTACATGTAACAGGTGACGGATTGAAATTATTACGGAGTATATTTTAATAATTTGGACACATTTGAAGGGGCTGGGGTGGTCAAACTGTAACCTACATGAACCGTGTATATATATACCTGATGGATTCTTTTTACTCGGTCCACAACAGCGATTTCTCTGAAGAAGAGAAAGGAGTCCTTGTAAGCCTTAATTAGTTTCCAGTTCTTTTGTGTATATTCTAATAAATTCCTATTCTTCATTGAATCATTCTAAAGATCATTCATTGGCCCCTGACTGGGTCTGCTTTCTCCAAGGAATCGAAAACTGCAGATATGTCTTCAAGCAAGATGGTAGAGTGCAGGATATGCCATGATGAAGATTTGGATTCAAGTATGGAGACTCCTTGCTCTTGCCGTGGTACCTTGAAGGTTTGTGGGCTTCTTTTCATTTTTTTTTTAAATAAAATTCAAAATTTTCAATTTCATCTGACTATATCATGTACTCTATGAACCTTTCTTGAACGTGTTTAATTTATTTTCCCCAACTGTTGGGCTGAGGCCACCACGGGCCAACTCCAACATTCATGTGACTAGCCATGGATTATTGGACAGAGGCTGATAAAATATCAAATCGGACACCCAAACTCTTGGAAATGTGTGGTGATATAAAGAAATAAAGTTGTACATTCCCTATAAAAATTAAAATAGCTTTTCACACCAACTTACCATAGTCTACTGTTTTAATGTATTCAAATAGGAGAAGATTTTGGACTACTACTTTATAAATAATCAATTTATATATATATATATATATATATATATATATATGTGTGTGTGTGTGTGTGTGTGTGTGTGTGTGTGTGTGTGTGTGTGTGTGTGTGTGTGTGTGCGCATGTGTGCGTGTGCGTGTGTGCGTGTGTGCGTGTGTGCGTGTGTGCGTGTGTGTGTGTGTGTGTGTGTGTGTGTGAAAATTTTGAATTTGATCATTCTTAATTAGCTTGTATTTGTTTTTGGCGGTTTCAGTACGCACATAGGGTATGTGTGCAAAGGTGGTGCAATGAGAAAGGTGACACTGTGTGTGAGATTTGCCACCAGGTAATTAAGTTCTGTTTTTGTTAGATAATGAGATGTCTCGATTAAGGCCTTATTATAACTTATAGAAAATACTTTGAGCATGTATTATACTCAGATTAATTTCCATTCACATTATAATTAAGCTCTTTTTTGCTTTTGTTCACATCTTCCGTCCGAATGTATCATTATAAATCTATGGAATTGTTAACACTTTCTATTACTTGAAACCCAAACAATACCAGTTTTAAAGTTTTAACTCGAAGTGGATTGGTGTTTAAATTGTTCTCTTTTATTTATTTACTTGCTTTAGTTTGTTTCACTGCAGCCTTTCAAGCCTGATTATACAGCACCTCCCCGTGTTCGTTGCTGTGGGAGCTTAAGGTGATCAATTAGGTTTCATACTTTACATCTTTAGCATGCCAAGCTTCTTTAATATACATAGTATTATATTCTATTCATTATGCATTTAATTTGGTGTTTATTATATCAGGAGAAGTAACGTACTTACAAGGTTAGACGTGAGTAGATCTCGTCCGTTTGCAGCATGGTTAAGAGAGCAGAATGGGAATGATTCATCTAATTCTTGAATATTAATGACGGTAAATAAATTACCAGATACTATGTATGTAGAAAGTAATCAAAGTTGTATTGTGTAACACCCCAAGACATCAGAATGAAAGAAAAAGCAAAGCCAACCGGAACACACACCGGGATGACGTGGTTTTACCCCTTGGGCTGTTAGTTGTTGTTGATTTGTTAGTTGTTACTAGATATTTTCCTTGTATAAGTTGGGGATAGATTTTACCGGAGGATTATGCTTGGAATTAATCAACTATTATCTCTTTTCTCTCATTTCCCTCTTTATTCTCTCTCTCGCCTAGTCTCCCCTCTGCATTTCTTCTTCTTCGATGGAACACTTAGTGCATGATAGACTAATCTAGGGAGGGAACTGAGCAGGAGAAGAATTGTTCATTGAGCAGAAGAATTATGAAAAGTACGCACAAAGGAGATAGAAGGCAGCATTATATATGCTGGTACACCATCTGCTAAGCATATAACAGAAATAACAGAAAGATGAAAAGGATTGAAAATACAGAAATGCCCTTAGAGACTAAGCTAAGACTAAGCTATTACTTTGACAACCCCGTAAGCTGGAGCATGAATATCTTGAAGGCCCAGCTTAGAATGAAAAATGTCAAAGCTTGGCTTTAGTAAGGCTTTGGTAAAGTCATCTGCAGTTTGTCATCTGGATGGAATAGAAAGCAGTTTGATAACCCCTTCATTAACCTTTTGTTTGACCACATGGCAGTCAATCTCAATGTGTTTAGTACGCTCATGAGACACATGATTCTCTCCAATAGCTATGGCATACTGATTATCACAAAACAAGACACTTGGACTGTTAGGCTGCACCTTCAAATCTGCCATCAAATACAAGAGCCACTGAATTTCACACACAGAAGAAGCCAAAGACATGTATTCTGCCTCTGAAGATGATCTTGAAACAGTGGCCTGCTTCTTTATTTTCCAAGAAATCAATGATTCTCCTAAGTAAATGCAAAAACCAGTAATGGATTTCCTTGTTTCTGCACAAGTAGCCCAGTCTGAGTCTGAAAATCCATATAGTTTGAGGTGCGATTTGGCTGGATAAAACAATCCTTTTCCAGGAGCCTCTTTTAGATATCTTAACACTCTGTGTGCTGCCACAAGATGAATATCTCTAGGCTGATCAACAAACTGACTTAGCTGCTGAACAGCATAAGTAATATCTGGCCTGGTGTTTGTTAGATACAACAATTTTCCTATTATTCTTCTATAGACCTCAGGACTGTCAAGTTGTGTTCCTTTAGTACTTGTGAGTTTCTGTCCTGCAGTGATGGGGGTTTGTGCAGGCTTGGCCTCTAAAAAACCATATTCTTCCAAGATGTCCAAGGTGTACTTTCTTTGGCATAGGTTAAGACCATCAAAGGATCTGAAAGCCTCTATCCCTAGGAAATAATTCAAATGTCCAAGGTCTTTAATCTTGAAAGCCTTGTCTAAGAAGTATTTTAACTCATCAATCAGGTTGGGATGTGTGCCTGCAACAAGAATGTCATCCACATAGATTAATAAAGCAGTGAATGAATTATCTGATGCCTTAGTGAATAATGAGGGATCAGTTGTGGATTGTTGGAAACCATTGTCAAGTAATGCCTTTGTCAGTTTGGCATTCCATTGCCTGCTGGCCTGTTTTAGGCCATAGAGAGATCTCATTAATCTGCAAACTTGTTTAGGAGTCTCACTTTGAAATCCTGGGGGTAAAGTCATATAAACTTCCTCTGATCTTCTAGATCACCATGTAGGAAGGCATTATTGATGTCTAATTGCTGAATATCCCATCCTCTTGCAATAGCCACTGCTAGAAAAATCCTGATAGTGGTCATCCTAGCCACAGGTGAAAATGTCTCAACATAATCCACCCCTAGCTGTTGAGTGTAACCCTTGGCAACAAGCCTAGTCTTGTGCCTTTCTATAGACCCATCTGCCTTGTGTTTGATCCTGTAAACCCACCTACACCCAATTGGAGACTTTCCTTTTGGGAGTTCTGTTAATATCCAAGTCTTATTCTCAATAAGTGCTTGAATTTCAGACTGCATTTTGTTTCTTCCTTGTGCAATAGTAGCACCATAACATAGACAACCAAAAGATTTGAACTGATCATACATCACCTGCTTGCCAAATAGTATTTCAAAAGGAGTATTTCCATCCATAATGGGAGAAGGAAGTCTGTTAATAATATAGCAAGCATGTAAGACACAATGTCCGATCCCCAGAATTCCATAGGCAAACCAGATTGGAACCTAAGAGCTCTAGCTACATTCAAGAGGTGTTGGTGTTTCCTTTCTGCAATACCATTCTGCTGAGGTGTATACACACATGACTTTTGAACAATTCCCTTTTCATTATAGAAATTAGTCATGAGAAACTCATTCCCATTGTCTGTTCTCACAGTCTTAATTCTTGCAGAAAATTGAGTATGGACATACTGATAAAAGTTCTGAAATAACAACTTGACTTCTGATTTATTCCTCATTAGATGCAACCAAGTAAATCTACTATGGTCATCAACAATGGTTAGAAAGTAGTGTTCTCCTTTTAAGGAAGCAATAGCAAAGGGGCCCCAAACATCCATATGAACTAAATCAAAACATTTTACAGCCCTGGAAGTACTGACAGGAAATGTTGATTTCTTGTGTTCGGCAAAGTGAAATACATCACAAGTAAAATTAGAAGATTTAACAGAATGTCCATGCTTCATTCCTTTCAAAAGGTGTATCTTATTTATGGGATAATGCCCTTAGAGACAAAGCTGAGACTAAGCTATTACTTTGACATTCTTCCTTCCCCAGATTCTGTTTTCTTCTTCTCCCTCTTGTAATACTGTTCTGCTCTTCCCTTTCTCCCCTACTTTGACCTAAGGTTCATTACAATTGGTATCAGAGCCCTATCTCCCTTCACCATGGAAGCTCAATTGAGTAAATTAGAAGCTCAGATGACTGAAGCAAGCGTCAAAATTGATACGCGATTTCAGGCTACTAAAGATTTAGTGGAGAGAATCATGGCTAAGATGGAGTTTATGATGTCCAGCTGGAGAGATGAGATACTGGAGGCGATCGGACTCAACACATCAGCTCCCCCGATTCCGGATGATGAATTAGGGATCTTCGCCGGAGATTAAGAAGTGGTGATCTTTGCTGGAGATTCAGAAGCTGCGATATTCGCCGAAAATTACGAAATAGTAGAGACGAACCCAGGTGTTGAGGTTCATTACAAGGACATGCATCATTGTACATACAGAACAAACACTTCAACCACACAAATTATAATCAATGAGTTTCCTACAAGCTTAACACTAGCTAAGAGACACTTTGTTCTTTGATGTTTGGGTTGATGAGAACTCATTCAGAAGGCGCCTCTGTACCACTGAACTACTACCCACAACTTCACCATTGCCAATCTATTGATACATTAAGTTATTAAGTTATTTGAGCCCGATAGAATAAATTTTTTAGTGTACTGGAGATTGAAGAACACAATTCCCTAAATATTATTGTTCAAAATAATAGAATCAATCTTAATACATCCATTAAAAAAAAAACATATTTGCATATTACAGAATACTTGAAACATATTGTAAAATGTGATACATATAAAAGAGGAAAAAGCTACACAATACTTGAGCCCTTATAAGTCATCACTTTATTCTTCAATCCGGCACCATTCCTCAACATCAACCTAATAATAAAAGAAATTAGTTACAGATTGAAATAAGATTTTTAAAAAAGATTGAAACTATTAATCTGTTATTACCCAATAAAATTGAGAATGATGATCACCAATGCCTAGCTGGAATACTTTCTGCAATATGTGGAAATTCAAGAGAACAATTATAATAGAAAACAGTTAATAAATAAATATAAAAGGAAACTAAAACATGAATATAGCATTTTATACTGCAACATTAAAAAAAAAAAAACATAAACTGCATAATCACCAAAAATGAACTTGTAATCCTTACTTCACCTATAGCAACTAAAGTTAATAGAATAGAATGCTCCAAATTGAAAAGCCAAGCTCCAAATTGCTCTTCCTCAATCTTCTATTTCAGTCATGGTGATGGAGTACTGAGTTTTGGGCTATATTTATAGGTGATTTAGAGTGTTTGAGTATATTTATATGTGATTTTATTTAAATCTTAATAATTCAGCCTTGAGTTTTAATAGGAGTTTGTAATTTAGTAAATTTAACAGAGAATTAACGGGGAATTATAAAAGTAATAATGAAGAATATATAATTTTTAACGGGAAAAAGAATAATATAATATTGCTGAATAGAAATATGAATTTTAATATTGTTGTATCCTATTACGAATAGGAATTTTAATGTAGAATTGTAGTACGAACGGGAAAGTATGAAACAATATATTCTATTAGAAATTGTATTACACTATTTTATAATATTAGAATAGGAATTTTAATGTA